GGTGGAATCATTGGTCTATACTTCTTCAAAAATGTTGCCGGTGAAAACATAAGTGTTAGTAGCGACTTTTATCGCATTRACCTTAATAACCGGCTCTTTGATGCCTAAAATTGAAGCCCGTGATCTCGGCACCATTTGGTTTCAAKAAGACGGCACCACGGCCAAGACGAATTTATTGACAGAATAMTTCGGTTCTTTGGATAATTTCACGTTTTGGGTCGGTCGGTTAACCACCAAGATTTCTTTCTCCTGTGAGAATATGTAAATACGTTCGTCTAGATTTTATTATTCCTCAAGAACTCTGACTTATTTGCCATGTGAAGTCAAGGTAGACGTAAAATATTAGCTGTTAGTTTCAGATAGAAGCAAGAAATAATTTATAATATCCTGAAYGGCATATATTAAGTTTGCCACGAAGTTTTTAAAAAGTTTTGTCGAAGTTTTGATAAAGTATATACCCATATATTAGCAAATAATCAGCGCGACGAGCTGAGCCGATTAACCATGTCTGTGTGTCCGCATATACGCGAACTAGTCTCTCAACTTAAATTGACATTTTTTCTGGTTCTTCATCTACTATAACCCAAACGGACCATCACAATAAAAATATCAATACCTTTCTGAGTAACCCCATCACAAATTCAGTTTCTTATGCGTCCCCTACTCCATTGACAGCGACGGCTGGCCTTTTCATATTCAAAATTATATTCGAATTTGTAGATTAAATTCACTGAATATGAAATCATAAAAAATGCATGCRAAAAAGGTGAAATTGTCGTCCATTTCACAGGCCAAAATAAGACAAAAAAAAAWWAAAAAAGCCTTTATATTTACATCTTTATCGCCTTTGTTGTGCTTTTGCAAGAGCTTTATGTTCTTGTTGATGTAAAATACAATTCAGTGAAATTAATCCTTTTTTCTGCAGAATAACAAATAGTAAGGACAAAACCTATTTTAATTCATTTTGCACGTGAATATTCAATTWTCAAAACAAAACAAAAAATGCAACCATTTTTGGGGATTTCTTTGTGAGAAATCTTCAATTTGAGTCATAATTTTTTTATGAGTCAAATGATACACTGCAAGAATTGTATTATGATAAAATATTATAATTTGTCGCCGAAATGAGTTAATATGAATATACGAGGGTGGCCGGCTTCCTTCTACTAACTTAASTTTATAAAAATATATTAGAAATCTGAAGTTATGAACTTCTCATGGTAGAGTTTTGGTCTTCTTGAGTCCACCAGCTTCAACCAATGTACCACATGTTAGTTTGTCAAACAAGTCTTGCGGTATTTTTCATTGAATTTTCAATTGTTTATAAAATTTTTTTTTTTTTTTTTTTACTAATGCCCAGCTCTTGACCGATGCTACGGCTGCTACTATGCCGGTCTCTTTCGATCAATTCAGCGATTTTTCGCAATTTTCGACGACATGCCTTCCGGAGCGTGGCGCATCTTCGACCACCTCTACACCAGAACGAAAACGTTGAAACCAACGTTGTGCGGTGGAAATGGAAACTGTATCGGGTCCATAAACTGCTCAAATRTTATTGGCGGCTTGAGATGCATTTTTGCCTTTATCGTAGTAGTACTGTAAAATATGCCGTATTTTCCCTTTATTTTGCTTCATGTTTGCGACGCTATAACTCACGAACGACTTAAAAGAAACGACAATCAACCAAAAAACGTGTTAGCGCGTGAAATGAGCTTTAGAAAAAGGTGTAGCACGACCCGATATGAATAAAACTAGAACTACGCGCTCTCAGCGCCAACTAGCGAAAATACCGCAAGACTTTTTTGACAAACTAATATATAAATATTGCAAGGATATTACCAAAGCTTATGAGAACCTCGATCGATGGCGAAGTATTTTGCAATGTACTTAAGTGGTAGACAGCTAAGACTACATATTTCGATCGAGAGATTTTTAGAAACATAGTTGAGAGAATGAATTTCGTTCCGCAAGGTTTTCGAGGTTTACCTGTARAACACTTTCTAGGCTTCGATATTTCTTTTCTAGCAAATAATCTATGAAGATTTCTCGAACACTTCGAAGATGTCAGTTTGCAAATAGTTTTCGAAATAAACTCCCTTCCAGTTCAACCGAGTATTTAACTTGAAGCAATTGTGGCTCAAGTATCGACCAAGTCTACATTTTCCTTGACGAAAACATCTGCATGATAAATGCATAAGTCCAAAAATCTGAACTTTTTGAATTTTTTTAAAAACTAAAAGGGTTTAATTTTGCTAGACTTGATTCAGAAAGTGATTTTGAAGTGGATGTTAAATTGTTTTAAGATARATTACGCTTTTCAAATTAAAAAAAAAAAATTTTTGGAAATCCGTTTTTCATAGATTTTTTTATTATATGTTCAATTTTTTGAAATTCTTTTCCATTATTTTTTTACGTGTAATTTCTTTAGGATTATTACTTCAATTTTGAAACTGTAAAAAAATATTTATTTYTTACATACGCACATGCATTAATAATAAACTAACAGGCAGTGGCTAAGTTGCTACAGACAAATTGATAGGACTGAAGCAAAAACGTAGTGTAAAAGCAATAGGAGGGATCAAYGTGGATAAAAAATCTAAAGCACATACACGCTCTTTGATCACAAGGCGTAACTGAGAAGGCGAACAGCTAAAAAGGCAATAAATGCGCAAAYGGAGGGGGGAACGCAGTCATAACTGACTGCCTGAATGAGTGAGTGGCTGATTATGAATGGAATAACTGTTGGCAGGCGCCGTCAGCCGAAGCGCCGTAGCTGCGTAGCACAACTGGTTGAGTAAGTGAAATTTGATACGATTTATGAATCTATATTGTTTCTGATGCGAATACATACAAACACTTAGCAGGAAAAGAAATTCACTCTTCATTTTATGACCTTTTCGGCTGCCTGCAAATTCATAACCCATCTTGATTTCATTTAAATATTTTTTGTTGCAAACTGGAAGTAGACACGTCCATTACAATTTACCCAAACAAAAGAGGGGATAATTTTATTTATGCACATGCTAACTGAGCTAGAGTATGGCAAACATTAAGTTTTTCTCACCTGAACGCGCGCTTCCGTCAGATTTATTTTCATCGCCAGGTCCTCACGTGTGAACACATCCGGATAGTGGGTCTGCGCAAAGGCAGTCTCCAACTCTTCCAACTGCCAAGCAAAGAAAATTCGTGAAATTAATAATGAGAAATTGCATGTAGGTGAAGAAATAACCAAATAAATAAGCAAAAATTCTGGTAAAATAATTCTGGTTTTAGTTAAAACTGCTAAAAGTGAAATAATCCGCTCTTAAACTCTACGTGGCGGCGTACTTACCTGTTGCAATGTGAATGTGGTGCGATTACGTCGTTGCTTACGTCGCACGAATGTCTCATCATGTATGGAAGGATGATACGAGTAACTTGCATCTGTGGTTGTGTAGTTTACACCGCAGTAGTGTTAAATATGAAAAGAGAGGAAAATATAAAAATTTAGACGAATATATAAGAAAGTGGTCAAAATGCATTAAATARAAATATACATATACTATATGTACGTGTTAGTGAGAGGATATAGTCTACTTATTCCACCTGTGGCATTCTTAAGCTGTTATAAGCTTGTTGTATAGTCAGGGGGGAATTAAAATTATATAACTTAGTAGTCAGAAGAGAGAGGCTATTTTGTAGAAAATCGAATTTAAAAGTTGAAGAAAAGAGAAGGGGATCAAAAACTATACTTCACTTGCTTTCTTAAAAAAAAAATTACTAAGAATATATATAATGTTAAGATTTTGAAATGCCCAGCCAACATGCACATGTTGCCAACTCTACAAAACTCGCAAAATACTTAAAATTCCGACTTATTTTGTAGAAATTAGAGTTTGTGATGTATTTTAAAAATATCCAAAAATACTTTTTACAACTTTGTTGACAGTTTTTGACCGGAAAAAAATCCGGGCTCGTTCCGGTTACGTAGACTCGACTATCGGGTTAATGGTTTTCAATTTTGTCACAGCCCATAATCCCTCMAAAATTAACTCAATGGTCGAAATTAAGCAGACAGTATTTTTGAAAGGATTCGCAGAAGAATGTAAGCAATATAATCAAACCCTCAAAGTCTTCTAATCATGCTGCAATATCTGTGCACATATAAAATTCTCTGAACAGTAATGTTTATGAAAATAAGAACTGTAGGAGCTCACMAATTAAATAATATTTAAATACCGCGAGGATACAAATATTTCTCCTCCTCCCCAAATGCTGCTTTTATAAATTCGCTCTTTAATATTTTTTATACATCCATATACAAGTAGGTCTAACACAGAACACAAATTCTTTAGAAAAGCCAACCCTCTACAGCCCTCTACAGCAATCCAACGCTTGCATTGCTAATATTTAGTGAGCAAAGTAAACTTACAAATTCCTTTATTCAACAAATTAAATATTAATTAGCATGTAAATGATAAGTATACTTTTTGGCGCTGGGAGCAGCTCTGATTTTTACAAACTAAGGAGAGTTAAAACCGCTTAGCAAGCCACGAACACGCAAGCTTGGATAGCAGCTAGCAGACAAACTCACATAATTACGTGTACACACACATACATATACATTCACAAATATAATTAGTTAACCTTTTCTGCAGTAAGCGAGCAGAAGCGTAGGTAAAAGAGTAAAATGGCTGCCAAGATGGACAAAGTGGTATGAGCATAAACAGCTGTTGGCACTAAATAACATTACTACGCATTACACAGTTCCCCCGAGACTTAACTCGGCAAATGTTAAACGACTCACAAATAAATCTCGCTTATTACACAGATAGATAGTATATATATATGTATGTATGTATATATGAATACTTGCATAGATAAATAAGGAAGCGCAGGCACGAACAAACACAGGTTAGTAACYAAGTTATGTGGAGCCAAAGGAAGGTCATGATGCCGAATTGCTGGTGGAGGACGGCGTGGCGGTACGGTGGCCTAGCAAATGTTTTCCGGCGCAATATTCTTAATCCGATTATCGTTCGTTGAAAATTAGTAATGGCGCCGACAACAACAAGCACAACGGCAACAGCTTAATGAAAAAGTGAACAAAACCGCCGCCGACAACCTTCAACTCGCAACGCACTGTTTGCCAACCTTTTCACTTGGCTTGCTTGGCATTTCACTTGGTGCGTTCTTATTTGAATGTGCCACATTCAGAAATTAAATTTTACAATTTGCTACCTAATTATTTATTTAAAACAAATTGAAAATTAATTTCGTCGAGTCGAGCGGCGACGGCACACAAAATGTTCAAACAACACGAAAGCGTAGAAATTGCGGCCGGAAGCGTACTGGCRAAGGAAACGTCTCCACGACTTCAGCAGACGACTCCACGTATTTTGTGTAGCTACAAATAACCTGTGCTTCTCGGCTGRCTGTAATTCCTAAGTGCCTTAAGGGTCAAGTGTGCGGTTTATTTTGACTGCGTGTTKCGTTACTTCGAAAAGGTTTGTCAGCTTTTCACTTTATGTTAATGCCAACAAAATACTCGTACAAGTAAAGCAGATGATATTTTGTATGACTGCCACTCGTTCCGCTCTCAAGTCGATGCCCACAAAATGGCGTCGAAAAGAAAATTAAATTAGAAAATAATTTTGCCAACTTTTGCTGCGGCCAATTCAGGAGTTATGCGGCTCTTGTTGTTGTTGCTTTATTCATGCCACACACTGTACCTACTTGTGAGGAACTGCTTTAAAATTCAATTTGTTTGTGTTGTTGAAATTTGCTTTTGGCACCATTTTCTTGGTAAGGTAAAAATATGTACATACATACATATGTTCTTCGTGTTGTATACACAATTTTTATTGAGTTAAATAAGGAGTGTGAGATATCAGCGTTTGATGAAAATATGGCATATTTAAATTTCAAAAACAGTCGCCTAATATAGTTGGAGAAGACGKAGAATTTTCTTGGTGAATATCCGTGACTTAAAAAATTAGAGGCTTACAAGAATAACAACGATATTGTTCATAAGCACCCTTAAATATTTCATAAGGAAACCAAATCTTTAAAAATTTATTTACAATCTCACCATATAACCACTTATTTTCTAGTAATATAATAATAAAAATACTAATATTAAAAGAACATTTTTGTAATTTCAATTAATAAAAATAATTTAAAATTGGCACCGAAAACTCACCTATGCGTTAATTATTGTTGTTGTTTTATTTTAACACAAACAATCMATTAAAAACGWTTAATATTTCACTCGCGATATAAAATTCACTTCACACGCGCACGAATTTGGTACAAGCAGTTAAATAACATTTGTTTCTACCAAATACTAATTGCTTTTGCTACAAAAAAAAACCACGATTACAAAAGATGCATACACGACCCGAACACGAACCGGCACTCAAATGCTTTTAATATAATAAACACTCCATGGGCACACTTTTAATCAATTATACTAAAAAAAACTATTTTTATTTGATTAAAACTGCTTTTCATCAATTTAATTTGATTTCATGCCGCTTGTAAGCAGCAATAATAAAATGCTGTCTGCAATGTGCATGTGCGAACACGTTAACGAACCAAACCACGCGGCGCAGTTGGAACGACACAGTTTGCTGTTATACACATTCTTTACCATTGCAAATCAATAATTTGGGTTGCATACATCCAACATTTGTTTATATTGATTGAATTATTTAAATATTTTTATATTTACTATGTTAACTTTCACCAAAAACACTTTTTCACAACTTTTTCGCACTAAATTCTAATTTTGTCCTTTCGTGTTAACGAATTCATTGACTTCGCCGACTGAACATATTGTTTACAATGTCAACTTTACACTCAAATGAACTAACATACAATTTACCTGTTTTCTCTGCCTTTAACAGCACAGCGGAGATGTTACTCTACTGCAGTGGCTACTAACAGCAATAAATTCATGTAAAAGTTTTAGGTCTTAACATATTGYATATTTGTTTTGCATGGTCAGTTGATAGATAACATAACATAGTTATGTCTATTATGYTTTTATTTGCTGTTAGAGAGAATGTACTGTATTATTCAATATACATAATAACAGGTATATTCTTTACGAATATAACTTTATTAATTAAAACAAAAATTTTCAATCCTTACATTYATATATGTATACGAGCTTAAAASTAATGAGTGTAAATGCGTATTGGTTTTGTTATTAAGAGAATGAGAGCATTTAGTATAAGAAAAGATTGAAAGATCAGCAAGTAAGGAAATTATGAAATAATAGATATGAGAGGATAAGTAAGTCAGGTAAAGAAAGAATGAAAAACGAACTGTATGTAATAAAGTAAAACTAATCTTGGTCTTGGATGTCAAATAATCTCAAAAAATAAGGAAGAAGAGAATAAGTTTTCATAAATAAATATTTTTATCTTTGATATGCAAATTTCTTACACCAAAATGATTCACTTATAATCAATGCACGGCCCTGAAGCCTAAGGTATATTGAAATATCTTATATTATATCTCAGCAACTTACGCAATCCCGGCCGCCATTTTAATAAAATAAAATGCAAATAAGTGCAACAATTGAGACACACCCTTATTACGTTGGTATTTACATACCTGCTTATATAAATGAATGTACAACTGCATACAAGCAAAAAGCTCACTTGTTGTTGTTGTATATTTAACCTGCAGCACGATGCGGCAATTAGCACAAATTAAGTTTTGAGTGCAAATCCCAAAACGACTGTGTCAAATGTGTCGAAATAACAAAAAAAAAAAAAGTAAAGACAAAAACAAGGGCAGAAGCAGCAAGAAAATCAATAGCAAAGCAAAAGCATATTAAGCACAAGAGTATGCATTATCGAATACTTGGTGAATATTCACTCTCACATATACATATATAGATCTTTTTAAATGTACGCGTGTGTATACATAACAGCTTATCCTGCGAAGCTCGCCCGAAATACCAAAGCACTCAGCAGTAATCCACAACGCAAGCAAAGTCGTTGAAGGCAATCAAAGACAGGGTGGCACAAGTTGCTACACACAATCGTATGTAACACATCCATATATTCCATGTATGTGTGTATATATATTTAACGTCATGTAAAACCAATGAACCAACAACCATTGACACCCCCGACACTCTTCTTGAAAATCAAGCAGCAAATTTTCGTATTTTAGCATGCCGACAAGCGCCCTCCACCTCTACGCTTTCTTGCTACAAAAACAACACTCATGCCACCTCTTTGACGGTAAACTAACCGCACTTGTCAAGAGACGGGATTAACAAATCCTTATTACAAATTGATTCAAATGTGTGCACTACGATTTACGGCAGAAACAAACACGCACAAACATGTAGAGAGTGTGTTGGAGAGCGCATATAAACGCTCTCATACACAAATATAGTGTTCCTAATAGCAAAAGCGTTGCCA